TACTCATTGGATTCTTTAATTAAAATTTTGTGAAAATTATATTAACAATTTAATAAACTAATAAAAAAATGCTTTTCTAAAGTTTTCAAGTTGATTAATTGGGGGGATGTCAAGCAACGCCATCTATTGACAACAAAGTTGTTGGACATGCGCAAACATGTTTTCTCTATTTTGTCTTTCTCTCTTTTGCTTTCTCTGTTTTAACCTTCTCTGTTATGAACCCAAACCGTTGACCACAAAATCTTAAGAATGTTGTAGATCAAGTCTTAGACAGGATTATCTGGACAGGTAATAGCGTACTAAAGCTGACCAGGCACGAGTCATAAAGCTTAAATGATGAAACCAAATTCTAGCCAAAACAAGCTTAGAGTGGAACAGTACAACGCTGTTACCAATATCAGGATTATAACCAATAGCTCACTAGCTTTGAGTTCTAGAAACATAGACTTAGTCTTTATCACGAATACTCGAACAGAAGGCAATTTTAACCAAATTTTAAGAAGCACTTAAACACAATTAATGTAAAACTGGAAAATGGGGGTTTCACAAGACTTTACAGGGGCAAGAACAAGTAGAACTTCAGACTTAGTCTTTCAGAAGGGAAACTTAAATTTAATTGAAATAAAATTTTATTAAAGTACTGTATTTCAAGTTACTTATATCTTAAATGTGTATCACTTGATTTGTTTTAAACAGAATGACTTTATCATGAAAAACTAGAAAAGATAACATAATTAATTAATGAAAATTCAAGGGTATTTATACCAAATCAATCGGAAGGAAACCCGATTTCTTAACAAAGGAAAAGGAAAAGAAAATTAATCAATTTAGACAAGCCGAAAGAGTAGTCGAAAGTGTCTTAGACAGAACAATAAGAATAGAAAATGAAAGACAAATTAATTTTGATTACAAAATTTGTTAAAGTCAAAAAAGTGAATTATGTGCAATCCTTAAGGGATTATAATCAAAGTTTAAAACTTTCAACTCTTAACAAGAGATCTTATGATTAGATAAAAATTATTTAATTTGGTTTTGGGTAAGTCTACCCTTCAATACATTTGTTTAGAATGAACCAATTTTGTTAGTTATTTTTGTCAATCAAAATTTATGATCAAAATTATTTAGGCTGAGGAAAGGATTTTTAAAATTATAGCCAACATATGCAATTTGCGCCAACGATCCAAAACTTTTCTGTTGGCGGTACCGTTGATCCGTTTGATTTGCCCGCTTTGAGATGATCAATAAGACTCAATTACTTAGAAAATGGTGTTGTAGCCGCAGTTTACCTCAAACATTACCATTTCCGAAAAATCATTTCAGTTTTATCAAGGATTATTTGGAACTTGCGCTTCTGTTAATTTTAATTTTTCTTAATCCTGAATCGTTGATCAATTTCAATCAACAATTTAATCCAAGGAGGTGAATTTTCAAAAAATTTTGATTTAATTGAATCAAAAGTCGAGTACCTTGATCAATATTTTTAAACATATTCGGTGCAAATTAAAGAAAAATGCTGATTTATATTTTTGAAAAAATTGCAAAAATTGAATTTTTACTATATTCATTGCCCATTTGAAATTAATCCCTAAAAACCCACAAAAACTTTTGAGTTTTCCTAATATTAGAATGGTAAGGTAAGTTTCATGTCAAAATGTCATTATTCAGAATCAAGAGGCTGGAATTGAAAGTTGACTTGCTAACCAGCATCTGATTAACATTTTATCCTTTTGTGTATAACTTCCGTATTCGGTCAAATTTATTGCATGGAACTTTTTGTGAAACTGATACAACTGTAGAATTCAAAATTCCGAGTCTTAAAATGTAGGATGTACCTGTATGCATTTCTTGTATGTGCTTGATTTTTACAAAACCCCTAGCCAAACTCAGATAACCACTTAGCCTTAATATGACTGCACACTAACAATCAACTGCTCTACCAACAGAAAAAGCAGAATAAGGAACCTGCAACTCGAACCGGGGGCAAGCAAGTCTTAAGTCAAACAAGTATCCACTAAGACACCGTGATTTAACTGTAAATATTACATAACGAATCGAAAATTAATGATCGTCGAGTTCTATAAGCACACAAAAAGGCCTGAAGAACTTAATCCAAGTAATCGTGTTGAAGTTACTATATCCGCTAATCCTTCCAATGGAACTTTTCAAGCGTTGCTTTACTTAAAAGATACAACAAATTTGAACAACTCAGGTATTGATGATTGGATGCTCGAAGGAGATGTTGTTTATGTTTAAAAAGACTCAATTTCCCTGTTGATTCACAATTAGCTCAAATAGTATCAACAGCGTTAGTCACTCGACTCAATCAAGCTTTATCCCAGTTCAATAATCACTGCTATGAGCTTTTGTTCAAAGATGTTCATAGTGTCAAAGTGAGTAACCTCTGAAAAACACTTTACTTTATTAAATTTTAATATTTATGTTTTGAATTTACAGATTGTTCGGTTACCTAGAGAATCCAATCCAAGCGATCGTGTTGAAGTTACTTTATCTGTTAATCCTTCAAATGGACTTTTTCAAGCGTTGCTTTACTTAAAAGATACAACAAATTTGAACAACTCAGGTATTGATGATTGGATGCTCGAAGGAGATGTTTCGAGACTCGATTTTCAATCAGTATGCATCAACGATAGAGTTGTTCGGAAATACCGTTATTACATTGGAATTAAAATCAAAATCATAAAAATAAGAGTTAAAACAATTAGGTAATTAATCAAATCAAATTTATTGCTTCCAATATTCAAAATAGATTTTGTTCAATAAATCTCAGAGCAATTGCATCTAAGCAATACAATATGTTTCGTTGATAAATAATTCTGTCTTTCCGAATAAGGGTCATTGGTCACCGATGTGCTTTAGTTAGGCTGAATCAGTCATTCCATCATCACTTTCAGTTGTAGGTTCCATTGCCCCAGACACACCCTCAATCTCTTGAGGTACCGTAACAATTGCAGGCAATTTTACTCTTTTCATGCGCCAAGCTGAACTGTTTCCAAAGATAGCAACGAAGACGATAAAAAAGACAATCGATGTAACTGCAGTAAATTTCATTTTCACTTGGTTTTGTTGTTAAACTTTTTTCAACCTATTGGAGTAAAATGTAAAAACTTAATCAACTTTTATTTCAAATGATACATTAACGTTATAAACGAGCACTATTTATACTCATCTTTAGAGCATGGCTTATCGACAAGTTATTTATTGTCTCATCGGTGTTTTGCATTTCCTTGAACCATCGACAGCTCTCAAAACACGGCAAATGTCAAATTTTATGAATCAGTCAAAATAAATATTAGCCTATGTAAATTGTTTTAATCATTAAGCTATTACCTCGAAAATTATTCGAGGTGATGATTAGATATTTTTCCAGCCTTCATCTTATGGCTAAAATATTCAATTATAGCAACTTTCTGTAAATGTTTATTGTTTAACCATAACTCGTTTGAAGAGATGACTTATTGACGAGTTGTTTAATGTGTCATTGGTGTTGCTATCTCCTTGAACCATCAACAGCTCTCACAATACTCACAACACAATCTGAAACTGGTTACATATCAAAAGTAAAGACGCTGAAAGCGTAAGCTTTTATTCTACCATCTAGCTAGTGACTCTTAGATTGATAACTTTCGAACCAGAAGTGTTTCAGACTTGATGTTCAAGTTGCAGCGTACAAAAAATTGCCAGATACTAAAAATGAAGTTTGAAGGTCGTCCAAGGTCGTTTTCTTTTTTGACCTCTATAGGGGTCATTAAGGTCGATTTCGGAAATTCTGGGCTCTCAGCATTGTGAATATTGATTCTGAATTGATCTGAGTACATGCAATGAAAAGTTAGTTTAAGACAAACATTTGTAGTCAAGCACAATTATACGAGTATCTGCTGATCATATCAGCGAAGTGACTTCAGATTTGAGTTGAACATATCAAAAAGTATAAAAATATGAAAAATGGTTTGATTCTGAGTACTTTTATTTTTTACTATGGGCTTTAACATGGATTTTAGCGTCTAATTCAATCAGAGTTATTTCGGCAGTTTTAATAGAAAATCAAAATTCTTTCAATCATTTTTGTGAGCAATAATGAGTTCATCATTTTCACAAAGCAAGAGAGGGATATTATAAGACCTGAGCCCAACCGGCGGTTTTGTACGAAATTTTTTCGAACTCAAATATCTCAGCATTCGTAGTGATAAGAAAACTTTCAATAACACTGATCAATTGTCACAAATATATGCTACAAGAACCTAAAATATGATAACATAATATGCAATGGTATGGCCTGCAGCAGGACCGAAAGCACTTTGACCTTAAAAATCTCAAAAACGGATTATCTCAGAAAAAAATGAACAAGATTTTTGTGGTCCTCATTATTGTATCTATTCCCATAAAAAAAGTTGAGACCTTAACTAATAAAGATAAAAAAGTGAAGATTTTTAGAGACCCTCCTTTGCTTTTCGTTCATGCTTACTATTTTCTTTCCTAACATCATACATGTATCAATCATTTTATATGACAACAGATTGAGCTACAATTGAGAAATGATGAAGTGTTTTTACTCGAAAGTGATTCAAATCTGTGTTTCTCATGCTATTTTTCATTTAAAAAATCTATCTAAAGGCATTTTGCTCGATAAAACAAATCCATAAGACACATCAAATATAATAATAGAAAGATTAACATCTCATTCCATCTAAAACAAGTTTAGATCACTTTATAATTAGTATCGCCTATTTGTATTGCAACTTTAATCAGCTATGATTCTGTTAAATTACTTACTGACCAAATACTAGACTTTTGAACGAGCATTCACTTCTTTTATCATTTCTTTTACATGTATATTGATTTCCAAAACCAATCTTATAAATAAATAACTATCATTAACTAGGTCACGTCATTCGGCTGAATAAATACATGCATCAATTGTACCAGATAAATATGTTCAAATAAAGCTCTCCGTTTCAGCAAAAAAATCATTATCTTAGTGTTATCCGGATGAATAATTTAGATATCTAATAGTTAATTCATTTTCAAAGTGTTTCACATTTCTTATTTTCATGTTATTACATCCGATAAACAAGGTTCTGTAAGATGCGATTTAAATCCATGAAATGCATAATATTTGTTTTATTTTGTTTCTTGTTGTTTCACATGATTTGTGAATTGCATTTTATCGGAAAATCTACCAAAATTGGCCATGAAAATGTATACAGACAGCATGATGACTGGTACGAGACCAACTCTACGATGTGTGATCTTCCACTTTGCATGGATCCTTATGATCCAATGATTAAAGGTTTCATCAAGAAGTTGAACACAACGATAACGTGTGAAAAACCAGAGAATGCAAGTTTTAACTCGCTTTACAATCTTTACCAAGGACAATCCTTATCTTATATGAATGATTTTGATCCAATTGTACGCATGATGCGGATTCCGGGAAAAGCATTCAATTGTATGTATGAGCCATTTGATCGTGAAGGTATTGATGATAACAGAATTCAATATTTGGAAAAAAGACCGATAATTGGTTATGAATTAGATTTGGAAAAAATTGGAGTAGAGTTTGTTAGTATCGAATGCTATCTCTCAGGTGCATTAGTTTATAGTAACATCCATTCGTGGCCAAGTCGAGTTCCTTCCCATGCAGATGCTACATCTTCCAATAACAAAGATCATTTGACTATTAATGATTATCCAACACCAGATGTAAATAAGCAATCAGTAATGATTCTTGTCCTAGAATCAATGTCTCTCCTCAATTTTAATCGATTCATGGTTAAAACGAAAGAAGCATTATCAAAGTTGTCTAATAATTTCATTCTTAGAGGATTAAACAAAATGGCTGATAATTCTTTTCCGAACATGATGCCACTTTTATCAGGTAAATTTGTTTTCTTTTTGCTTCTAACCTTTATATCCCATTCGTTTCAAATGCATTTTTACATTGTTAAATTCGTAAATGTATAAGAAAGCCTTTTTTGTCAGCAACCTGTTTGACCAGGGGATAAACTAATTTCTAAAGAAATAAAACAAATGCCATAAAAATAATCAACATTCAAACCAGAATCAAATTCCAACCTAATGGTGTTTGGTACAGAAATAGTTTTATATGAGACAATACGATAAGATGATTACAATAATGAAATGAAAGATCACTACAGCTAAAGGAGTCAAATTCAAGATTATTATCGATGATGTTTGTATATTTATTTTAGATATAATAATAATACCATGTATGTATTCATTTTGTTTCGATACAAAATCAAATTTTACAATAGAAAGAGTATCACACTTTATATTTGGATTTCTTTATCAGTCAATTGGCTAGACGCGTGAACAGATCGAATTTTAACAGTAATTACCAGATTATGATCCTTTATGCTTTTAATGTTGTCAGATTTTTCATTCATTTTTTCACCACTTTTTTTGTTATTTTTAGGATATCGACCCTATTATGGAGAATGGCCGTTTAAATTTAAAGTTGGTAAAGGTCCTTATTCAATTCATTTGGAATGATTTCAAAAAACAAAACTATACAACTGGCTATATTGAAGATCATCCCGAATTTGCGTTATTCAATTACTTAGCTAAAGGATTTAAAAAGCCTCCGACTGATTGGTATCCAAGACCTTATTGGATGAAGATGGATTATGATCAAAGTGACCAAGAGCGTTCACTTTGCTACAAACAGAAACCTAAAATAATTTATTGGTTGAAACAAATCAAACAATTCCTGAACAAAGTGAGCAGAACGAAGCAACCGTTCTTTCTTTGGTCTTTTTACATTCAAGTTACACATGATGATTTCAATGACGTGCAACTTGTTGATCAATATATTGCTGATTTCATCAATTCTTACCGCCAAATACTTGAAAAAACTGTCTTTGTAATCATGGGAGATCACGGCAATCGTTATGGACCTTTATTCATGACAGGATATGGACAAATCGAGACTAGAATGCCACTTTTTAATATTCACGTTCCTTCTCAATTACTTAAAAAGCATAAACATTTGGGTTATTATTTAAAGATGAACGAGAAAAGGTTAACTACTTGGTTAGATGTTAGGGAAATGTTGAAAGACATTGTTTCAGGTAATCACAAGATATATTAAGATAATTATATCATCTCTGAATATTTGTTCACTTGATAATTAATATCTGCCATAATAACTACAACCAATGCGTCTTTATTTTACTTTTTAGGTAACTATTAACCAATCGTTCATCCATCTAAACGTGCCGCTTACTCTGTTTGGCGAGAAGAAGTTCCTTTAGATAGAACCTGCAAAGACGCCTTGATTCCCGTAGAGTACTGTTTATGTTTAAAAAGACACAATTTCCCGGTTGATTCACAATTAGCTCAAATAGTATCGACTGCGTTAGTCGCTCGACTCAATCAAGCTTTATCAGAGCTAATCGATCTCTGTCATGAGCTTTTTCTCAAAGATATTTATAATGCCGAAGTGAGTAACAACTGTACACTTACATGTTTGTTACAATTTCATATAATTTTTATATTTATTACGAATTCACAGGTTGCTCGATTACCTGGAGAACTCAATCCAAGTAATCGTGTTGAAGTTACTCTATCCGCTAATCCTTCCAATGGAACTTTTCAAGCGTTGCTTTATTTAAAAAATACAACAAATTTGGACAACTCAGGTATTGATGATTGGATGCTTGAAGGAGATGTTTCGAGACTCGATTTCTATGGTAATCAATCATTATGCATCAACGATAGAGTTCTTCGGAAATACTGTTACTGCCGTGAAGGTATACAGCCCTGATGTCTATAACTCTAACAAAAATACCGTTCGGTACTTAATTTCAATTGATTAAAATGAAGTTTGCTAATAATCGTCCCAATCTATAAAGCAAGTATCAGAGCAGTTAACAGGTGTTCAAACGGGTAGGTTAAACTTTGGGTCTTTATATCTCGAGAAATAGGTGCACTATCGTGGTCATTTTAATTTTATATTAATTAGCTTTACTAGGAATTTGAGAATGTCTAAAAGACAGAGTATTTAGAAGCGAAACAAAAGCGCTCACCCGACTCGAAAAAGCAGTTTATAATGGGATTATAACATTTCAATGGAAACTTGTCAAAAATTTATAGCTGTATTTTTGAAAATCGTCTGATAGCGTTAATTGTAAAAAGGTGAGGGTATTTCGAGCACACATATCATTAATTCCCGATAAAAATCTATTTATATACAAATTTTCAGATCAATAAACAAATCCGTTCTAAAGATATAGCCGTTTACTTTTTGACCTACCCGTTTGAACACCTAGTACATGGTAACCAAAGAAATATCATACATTTGTTTAGAATGAATCAATTTTTATCCTCGATTCGAAGGAAAATGGAAGAAAAAGAACTGTGTGTGTCACGAAATGTGAAAAATCGCATGCGTTTTCCCAACTGGAGGGTCATGTCAACCCACTTGTGTGATCCGGATAGGAGAGCTGGCCATTCCATACCGAGCAGGAGGAGAAAATAGCTTTTGTAAACATTCATAAAGTCAAATTTATTAGCATGGCTTATTGACAAGTTATTTAATGTCTCATCGGTGTTTTGCATTTCCTTGAACCATCGACAGCTCTCAAAACACGGCAAATGTCAAATTTTATGAATCAGTCAAAATAAATATTAGCCTATGTAAATTGTTTTAATCATTAAGCTATTACCTCGAAAATTATTCGAGGTGATGATTAGATATTTTTCCAGCCTTCATATTATGGCTTAAATATTCAATTATAGCAACTTTCCGTAAATGTTAATTGTTTAACCAGAACTGAAAAGATGACTTATTGGCAAGTTATTTTATGTGTCATTGGTGTTGCTATCTCCTTGAACCATCAACAGCTCTCACAATACGGAAAATGTCAAATTCGTCTGATTGTTTTATGTAAATTATATTTATTAAGCTTTAACCTCGACAATTATGCAGAGGTGCGAGGCTGAAATTAAAAGTTGACTCTCTAACTTCATGATACCCAAAACCAATAGATTTGATTTCCGTTCATGCTTAAGATAATTTTTCTCGCATCATATTAATCATTTTACATGACAACGAATTGAATTTACAGTTGAGACGTAATGTGCTTTCTACTCGACAGTTATTACCTCCGAGTTTCTCATGTTATTTTGCATTTAAAAAATATATTAAGTTCATTTTTCCCTACTCATGTTAGTACTCATCCGTCTCACAACTTTATGAAACCCTTCTCTTTATTCATCCAAGATGTTTGTATAATTTGTATGAGATTGTAATGTAATGAAAAAGTGGAAACAATATTGAAAACCTTTTTCTCAACATTGTATTTGTAATGTGTGAGATATTATCTCAATTTTATAAAACAAATCCATAAGGCACATCACAGATAATAATAGAAAGATGAACATCCCATTCCATCTAAAACAAGTTCAGATCACTTTATAATTAGTATCGCCTATTTTCATTTCAACTTTAACTAGGCATGATTAACTGACCGTTACCTAATACTTACCCAAAACTAGACTTTCGAATGACCATTCAGTTCCTTTAACATTTCTTTTACATGTATTAATATATTGTACACCATTTCCAGAACCAACTTGGTAAATAAATAATCATTGACTAGATCACACCATTCGGCTGAATAAATATAAATTGTATCAAATAGTATTTTCAAGTATTGCTTTCCATCTCTACAGAAAAAATTTCATTATCTTACATTGTTAGTGTTATCCGGATGAATAATTTAGAATATCCAATAGTTAACTCATTTTCAAAGTGTTTCATATTTCTTATTTCCATGTTATTACTTCTGATAAACAAGGTTCTTTACGATGAGATTAAAGTCCATGAAATGCATAATATTTGTTTTAATCAGTTTCTGGTTGTTTTACATTATTTATGAATTACAGTTTATCGGAAAATCTACCAAAATTGATCATGAAAATGTATACGAAAATCGTGATGATTGGTATGAGTCCAACTCCATGCTATGTGATCTTCCGCACAATATGGATCCTCATGATCCAATGATTAAAGGTTTCATCAAGAAATTAGGCCGAACGATAACTTGTGGAAAATCAGAGGATGGAATTTTTAATTTTCTTTACAATCTTTATCAAGGACAATCCTTATCTTATATGAATGACTTTGATCCAATTGTACGGATAATCCAGATTCGTGGATATGAGAAAGCATTCAAGTGCATGTATCAACCATTTGATCGTGAAGGTATTGATGATAACAGAATTCAATATTTGGAAAAGAGACCGATAATTGGTTATAAATTAGATTTGGAAAAAATTGGAGCTGAGTTTGTTAACATCCAATGCAATCGTTCGGGTTCATTAGTTTATAGTAACATCCATTCGTGGCCAAGTCGAGTTCCTTCCCATGCAGATGCCACATCTTCCAATAACAAAGATCATTCGATGATTAATAATTATCCAACACCAGATGTAAATAAGCAATCTGTGATGTTTCTTGTCATAGAATCAATGTCTTTCCTCAATTTCAATCGATTCATGGTTAAAACGAAAGAAGCATTATCGAAGTTGTCTAATAATTTCATTCTTCGAGGATTAAACAAAATGGCTGATAATACTTTCCCAAACATGATGCCCCTTTTATCAGGTAAATGGATTTTTAACCTTTCATATTCCATAACGTTTCAACAGCATCTTGTGTTTGTAATGTTCATGTACTAGTAACTATTTACCTTTGACTTGTTTCTTCTTTACATTGACCATATTGATATTCATTTCTCAGTCTTGTACTAACACAATTTTAATAATATTTAGGATATCGACCCTATTATGAAGAATGGCCTTTCAATTTCGATGTAAATAGAGGTCCATATGATGATGTTTCATTCATTTGGGATGATTTCAAAAGACAAAACTATACAACTGGTTATATTGAAGATGGTCCGAAATACGCATTATTCAATCGCATGGGTTTAGGATTCAAAAAAGCTCCAACCGATTGGTACCCGAGACCTTATTGGTTGTCCATTAAAAATGATCAATCGAACGAGTTTCATAGATTCTGTTACAAACAAAAGCCTAAAATAATTTATTGGTTGAAACAAATCAAACAATTTCTGAACAAAGTCACCAAAACGAAGCAACCGTTCTTTCTTTGGTCTTTTAACATTCAAGTTACCCATAATGACTTTAATAATGCTCAGCTCATTGATCAATATATTGCTGATTTCATCAATTCTTACCGCCATATACTTGAAAACACTGTTTTTGTAATCATGGGAGATCATGGAAATCGTTTTGGACCTTTATTTAGGACAGAATATGGGCAAATCGAAACTCGAATGCCTCTATTTAATATTCACATTCCTCCTCAATTATCACATAAGCATCAACATTTGGCTTATTATTTAAAGATGAACGAGAAAAAATTAACTACTTGGTTAGATGTTAGGGAAATGTTGAAAGACATTGTTTCAGGTAATCATACTATTCATGTAGATAATTAAATCATCTCTGAATATTTGTTCACTTGATAATTAATATCTGCCATAATAATAACAAACACTGCGTTTTTACCTTGCTTTTTAGGTAACTATGAACCAATTGTTCCTTCTTCTAAACGTACCGGTTACTCTGTTTGGCGGGAAGAAGTTCCTTTAGATAGAACCTGTCAAGATGGTTTGATCCCTTTGGAGTTTTGTTTATGTATAAAGAAACAAAGTTTCCCTGTGAATTCATCATTGGCTCAAACAGTATCGACTGCCTTAATCACTCGACTCAATCAAGCTTTATCAAAGTCAAATAATATCTGTCATGAGCTTTCTCTCAAAGATATTCATAGTGTCAAAGTGAGTACCTTTGAAAAACACTTAATTCAATTTTAATATTTATCTTTTAATTTTATAGATGGTTCGATTACCTGAGCAACTCAATGCAAGCAATCGTGTTGAAGTAACTATAACCGCCAATCCTTCGAATGCACTTTTTCAAGCGCAGCTTTACTTAAAAAATACAACGAAGTTGGACAACTCAGGTATTGATGATTGGATGCTCGAAGGAGATGTTTCCAGACTCGATGCCTATTATTATCAATCATTGTGCATTAAAGATAGAGTCCTTCAGAAATTTTGTTACTGCCGAAAAAAGAAACAGTCCAAATGACTCAATATTTCACTTATTACATTGTGTCTAAATTTCTAGTTGCACTACCTTACATTGAATCCACCTATTATAATAGCATCATGGAGTTGTTACAGTCGTTTTTAGTATAGAAAGAGCTTAAATATATCGGTAATTTATTAATAATGTTTTATTTTGTATTTTAAACAAATTTTATGCAATTTATCATTGACTTTTAACCAGAATTTTGACGATCTTCTGTTTTTTGGTTTCTGTAAAAAATGGACTTCACTGCGTCTTTATTTTATGATGCGAATATACTATTTTTTGATTGAGCCACTATTGTGCTCATTCGAGAGCTTATCGTTCAGTATATTCGTTTCTTTTTTGCACTTGTGACTCAATGCAAAGAATATGATTCAAACTATTTACAGTATCAAGCGGATTATTCATCCAAGATGTTGGTATAATTTGCATGAGAACGTCATGTAATGGGAAAGTGGAAGAAATATCAGGAAACCTTTTTCTCGACACATTGTATGTGACGGAAAAACTATTGAATTGAAAGGTGTTTTATAAAACAAATCCATAAGGCACATCACAGATAATAATAGAAATATGAACATCCCATTCCATCTAAAACGAGTTTAGATCACTTTATAGTTAGGATCACATAATGTTTCATTTTAAAGTTAATAGGAATGATTCGGTTAAATCGTTGGTTGATGAATTTTTGTAACCATAGCTGGTTATTTTTGTGCTTCTTTGTTTACATTGTTGAAACCAAGCGCTTCGATTTAGTAATAATTCATCAAATATTATGTTATAAAAACGTTGTATAACTGTTGATAGATATAAATTATTAATCTTCATTTTGACTGACGAAAGAAGTAATCTTTGACCAAATCCATTTTTGTAAATCGTCATTTGGATCACATGTAGCCAATTTAACGCTAGAATCACTTTTAAAGAACTGTAGACATTTCGATGTTGTTGAAGATGTATGCACCATTTGTTGAGTATGTTCACCATATGACCAAGGACCTTCAACAGATCCTAATTTACAATATATTAGACTCATCTTATGATTATCAGCGTCAATGCACCTTTCACCAACACCAACTTGTCTTTCTTCATTGAGTCAGAACAGTTGGTTGCCACCAGAAGAATGACACTGAGACAAATGAACAGTTCTCGGCGGTGCTGATGAACCAGTATCGAGACATTTATTATTTACTTTATTCCTGATTTCGCCCCAATGGACATTCTTGGGCAATGGAGGGAAATGTTTATAGACAACATGGCCAATACGATCCATGAACCATTTAAAGGATTTACATTGAAGTTTATCTTTAATTGCCAACTGGGCAGAAAAATCTCCTGGATCATAAAATGTAGCCAAAGGTTCACGAGTGTAGAAATAGTCTTTAAATTGTTGATCCCACCAAACTTCAATGACTCTCTTGTAATTGGTAATGATGAGAGGACCTTTCCGTTTATTTGCTAAAGATCCAAATGAGTAAGGCATGAAAGGTCGGTAAACATGACCAACTCGAGAACAAGGGACCCACAAAAGGTTGCCCCCACATTGCCAAACCTTGAGAGAGAGTTCAAAATTTTCTCCACCCCACACAAGTAAACCAGGATCATAAGTTCCAAGCTCTAGAAAATAATCTTTGGCAATGGCGAAAAGACCACCAGCGTGAGTTGAAGCTTCGCAAGGTTCACTGACTTTGTGTGTTTCAAATGTTTATCCATATCCAGTTCGATTTCTTTATAATACATTCCCCATTCCTAGATTCCTTGGTAATGTTGGTACATAGTAACAGAAGAGAGGATTACCTTTAAAAATTTAGCTTTGGATGGACAAGTACAGAGTCGAATGAGAAGTTCCAGGCAAAACCAGATTATACAGAAAGATTCAATGATAAAGAAAGGTTCTGTCATTGCTGGAGAATCGTCTTCCCATACTTTGGTGTAATTACCAATTTTAAATATTTTGTAATGTTTAAATTGTGGAAGAGTTTCAAGGCAAAAGATTACAATGGAAACAATAATTACAATAACCGAAATAATTGCCACAACTCGAGCTCCTTGCGATGACTCTGGATGTTCAAAGAGAAGCCACAGTTTTCGCTGAAAATCACCTTTAGGTAAAGGCGCTTCTTTACTTCGAGGAGCAAAACCTTCCTCAGCTTTAAACTTGTCAATTGCCAAAGAACCCAATTGATAGAAGCGAATCTCTTCCAGGAAAATGTCCAAAGGTACATTCATTGGTCTCCTCAATTTACCATTAGATTGATAGTAGTAAAGTATTGGTTCAAAAGCTATTCGACATCGGTCATTTTGTCATATTGTAAAGAATCTTTAAAAGATAAACTATCCCGAGGCATACAATTTAACCAGCTATCACTAAATTTTTTACGCTCTAGCAAAAACATAATTACCATAAATTATGTAAACATTTTTTAATTGTTAAAATTGTAACAAGTATTCAAAAGTGGCGGTATGCTTTATTTGAGTATAAGCGTCGCCTTGGTGATTTTATAGGAAACGGAAAATGAAATCAAGCAAGTCTCATTTGGCAACGCTTGTAAAAGACAACTCTTTGCGGAGGAATAAATTGAGAAATTTTGAGTTTAGTCGTGCTTAATTGTCAAGTCAATTGATCAGTTTATTTATTAAATTTCCAAAGGTTATAATTTAAGGTAAGTGTCTTGCTTTGTGCTTCATACCTACTTCTTGAATTGTCTGACTAATACTTTTTTTGCAATGTGTTTCTCTGGTTAGATTGAAACATGGATAAAGTGAAACTTGCTCGTGTTACTAAAGTTTTGGGAAGAACCGGATCCCAAGGACAATGTACCCAAGTTCGGGTTGAATTTTTGGACGAGAATAATCGAAGTATCATAAGGAATGTAAAAGGACCTGTCAGAGAAGGTGACATTCTTACTCTTTTAGAATCTGAAAGAGAAGCTAGAAGATTGAGGTAAACAGTGTGTTGTATCCTGTCCATGTAATCCACCTTTTCAGACTTAATAAAGTTAATGTGATCTGTTAACAATTTCATTAGTCTCTTTTTTAATCAAACCGTCGTCAGAAGTTCAAGTCTGTAAATTCTGAAAATTGTGTGAATCTGGTCAGAAGGCGAAAGTTAAATTTCTTAAAAGCTCATTCGTCATTATAATCGCTGCTAACTTTATTTGGGATAAGCTATTCAATAACTAAAAAGTTTGAAGCTATTTTAGGTCAAAAAATAAAGTAAAATAAAAATGCCATTATCATGAGTATTATCATGATTTTACTGTAAATCATATGGTTTTAATTGTGTAGCCGATGGATGGTTTAAGTAATAAGTAACACACTTTGAAAATATCAACTAAAAATTTAAATTTCTGAGATGATATAAAATAAGAAAGCAAAAACAATGAGCTGAAACTGAAAGGGTCTTCAATATGAAAGATAATTCTGGAGCTCAATAGAAAGCAAAAAAAGTAATCATTTTTAAACCAATAGAGTAGAAGATCAATTCAGATGACATAAAAAGATCATGATTGGCCATAGATTTGGATCACTTTTTGACTTGATCAGATTATCAAAGTACAATATCAACAATATTGCGATGCTAATTCAATGTAAATATTATTCCGTTAAAAAGTAAGGTAGTAAATCAATATGATTTTCGCTTAAATAGAAAATGCTTTTAATCGTGATGCCAACATTATTTAAAAAATTCACTAATGACCATATTTTTGGAATTCCCATTCTCGATTATCCAATGGACAAACTTGTCTTGTTTTCAACCATCTTGAGATACAGTGAAAGTGGAAAGCATGATTACAAACTCCCCAAGCTACTGTACATTCCTGTGAAGTAGCTGAGGCTTGATTAGCTTGACATTCTATACAGAGATCCATGATATGATTACGGCAAATAGCACAATTATCAACGACAATGTCCCAAGCCCATAAAGCTACAGCGCTCCACTTTTTAACCTCGAAACGTTTTTTACCACCAGACGATGAAGTTGAACTGCTGGGTAGTTCATTATTAACTTCACTCCTTTCAATCTCCATATCATCTTCGATATCACCCATAATGAAAAACCTAAATTAAAAATCTACAAAAAAGGGTTCACAAAAAACAATTACTTTCTAGACAAAATTTAAAAGGCTCAATAAGTCACTTACCTTAAGGAGACAAGATAGTAGTTAAAAATGAAGCCGGATCTAATTACAATTAAGTTGAGGGCGATAACTTGAATTAATAATTGAACTGATTGTTTAAGGAAAACTAAGGATAGCAAAGAAGCTTTTCAAAAATACAAAACTGCTGTTAAATAACATAAACGCCATCTCTTAGTAACTACAAATGAAAACCGCCTAATATGAAATACTAAAGGTGTATCTCAATAATGATCATAAATGCGAAATCTTTCATTTATTAAATTCAATAAAACAAAACTAAATATTCAATTGAAAAAAAAATTTCTTTCATATTATATCCATGAACTTGTCTACTCTAAATTATGTTAAAACTAATTCAATTTTGTTCTGCTTCACACCTTTAATCCAATAAGAAATAAATAAATTTTAACTCCAAGCTCATGGATTCAAATAATAGCGCGCAGAATAATAACAGAAATGTTTATCTTTTCTCTCTTGTTTACATTTGTTCTTTTAAAGGTCTTTAAAACGACATTGTTTCTATGTTGATATTAAAATAAAGTTATCAAAGGTTTAAATATTTATAGTGATATCGATAGTGGCCTTGTAATTTACTGTCCCATTGTGTCTTCTCTATCAAGTCCTGTTTTCTTTACTTTTATAATCAATTGACTTTTTTCCTTTAGACTCATAACATTTAATTTATGTTCTCTTTCACCTTGCTTCTGTGTTAATTGCTCCTTAATAAAGAACCATGGACGACTCTCTTTTGGTAAATAAATTTGGTTTAAAACTCCACAAACCGGTCGCTTATGGTTCAGCTGGACATAAAGTTGTCTTGCTATTGGCTTAACTACATTTCTCGTTATGTCTTGGCTTATTTCGACTTTATCAAAATTTGCTAACAATTTAATTCGTATAGTTTCTGTTTTCTGGCCAAATCAAAACAAAGATCTCAACATGGAAGATGAGGAAACATTCCCATTGACTGTCAAACTGGTTCCTAAAAATTTATACCTCAATTTACAAGTATCGCGCCAATGGTCAGTGCGACAGTTGAAGGATAAAATTGTTGAAAGCCTGCAGGAAACTTCTACAGTTCAATCTGTCAGTTTAACAAGTGCTGATGTATCAGTGATATTTGCTGGAAAAAAATTATCAGACTCAATCATTTTGGATAACTGCGGGTTTGGCGAACACAGTGTTGTTCATATAATTAGTGTTGCCAGTAAAAGTGGAAAGTTGAATGGCGAATCAAAACCTGGTGATTTAATAGTAACATCCAATTTTGTTTCAAGTCAAAATGAAGATGACCCCACGAAGTCATACAAAATTCAACGAAACCATTTTTTTGTTTTCTGTGATCAATGTAAAGACATTAGACCTGGTAAATGCCGAGTGCGATGCTTCAAATGTAAAGAAGGGTCATTGGTACTAGCCAAAGATCCATCTCAATGGGACGATGTTCTTGTACCGGGTACTATCAATGGAACATGTCATTCGCCAAACTGTGATGGATCGAAGGCAGAATTTTATTTCAAATGTGCCTCTGACACTCACCCCAACTCTACCTTTTCATCAATTGTTTTGCCAATCATTCGATATAACTCTCGTCAAGCTTCATGTCTTGCCTGTACCGATGTATGCTCAATCGTTCTCGTTTTTCCTTGCGTCGACGGACACACAATTTGTTTAATGTGCTTCAATAATTATTGTCTTTCACTATTGAATGAGAAAAGGTTCATTTTGGACAATGAGTTTGGCTACACTATTTCATGTCCAATTCGCTGCCCTCGCTCATCAATCCGAGAAACTCATATTTTCCAAATTCTTGGTCCAAATAATTATGAGCGATACAAAACTTTTGGAGCCGAAGAATATCTCTTAGCATCTAATGGGTTCTTCTGTCCTCAAATTGGATGTGGCGCTGGAATTATGGTAGAAATGAAAATCCCAGTCGAGTCTAATGTGATAACTTGTCATTTTTGTAATTCATGGATCTGTTTAAAGTGTAAATCTTTATTCCATCAAGGGAATTGCCGTGATACTTATAAACCTTCTAATAGCTCTCAAGACTCGAATCAACCTCCTTTAGGACAAATTGCTCAAGACCACGATCGATCGCGTTGGGATAACGAAGAAAGTTTGCGAACCATTGCGATGATATCCAAACCATGTCCAAAATGTGGAGTACCGACAGAGAGGAGTGATGGTTGTATGCATATGATATGTAAATGTAACTACGATTGGTGTTGGATTTGTCACAGTGGCTGGACCACTGACTGTATGGCCGACCATTGGTTTGATTAACATCTAAGCCTCCTTTACTCAAACAGCCTGTCTTTTCATAAGGCTCACAACTTTGTTAACTAAATTTTTGTAAATTTTTGTGTATCATTAATTTCTGTTAATTTATTAAAATAATTAATTTTTCAAGTAATTTCGCTATCGCTCAATATTTTATTTTCTTAACCTATTTAACGACAATTTTCATGACACATTTTTCTTGGGTTGTATTAATTTGAGGTCATTTTGCTTAAAAATATGATCACAGTTACCTTTGTTTACAGAATTATCGAGTCTACAATCAATTAGTGAGCAATTCTCAGAAGATAAAGAAGCCAAACTGGTCTCCAATGAGCTATGATTGATCATTGAAGGTAAAAATGGACAACTTTTAACGTGCCGCACATTAATTGGAGTTTCCAAATCTTCTGACCTCATCTCTCGGTTGTAAAAGAAATTGAAATTAGAAACAATTACTGGAACCGGAAGGGCAAGGGTTAGCACCCCAGCAATGGCACAAAGGGAACCAACCATTTTACCCCAAAATCCAAGGGGAACGATATCACCATAACCTACAGTAGTCATTGTGACAACGGCCCACCAAAAGGCATCAGGGATTGACTTGAAGTTTGATTTTTCGTGGCCTGCTTCAGCATAATAAACTGCTGATGAGAAAAGTATGACTCCAATGAGAAGGAAAAACATGAGCAAAGCCAATTCTCTCATTGAAGATTTCAGTGTCATTCCAAGTATTTGAAGGCCTTTCGAATGACGAGACAACTTGAAGATCCTGAAAACACGAACCAATCGTATCACCCGTAAAATAACTAAACTGGTTCCTGAGCTAGTCTTTTCCGTGTGAAGCGAATAGATGTCCATGGGTTGGTCAGGTTCTTCATTAAGGGCAGTTGCAAGAGTCATGAAGAACGGAATAATGGAGAGAACATCAATAGTATTCATGATATTCTGGGGAAAAGAGGAAAAAATAAACAATTAGTTAAATTATTGGATCGATAAGTTTCTAGCAATATTGTAACCAATCAATAAATTGATGCAAAAATGAAACCTTCCATGATAAACTGAATTGAATATTTCTCATTGCTAGAGAAACTATCTATTTATGTTTATAATGTAATTACATAGTAACAGAAGAGAGGATTACCTTTAAAAATTTAGCTTTGGATGGACAAGTACAGAGTCGAATGAGAAGTTCCAGGCAAAACCAGATTATACAGAAAGATTCAATGATAAAGAAAGGTTCTGTCATTGCTGGAGAATCGTCTTCCCATACTTTGGTGTAATTACCAATTTTAAATATTTTGTAGTGTTTAAATTGTGGAAGAGTTTCAAGGCAAAAGATTACAATGGAAACAATAATTACAATAACCGAAATAATTGCCACAACTCGAGCTCCTTGCGATGACTCTGGATGTTCAAAGAGAAGCCACAGTTTTCGTTGGAAATCACCTTTAGGTAAAGGCGCTTCTTTACTTCGAGGAGCAAAACCTTCCTCAGCTTTAAACTTGTCAATTGCCAAAGAACCCAATTGATAGAAGCGAATCTCTTCCAGGAAAATGTCCAAAGGTACATTCATTGGTCTCCTCAATTTACCATTAGATTGATAGTAATACAGAATTGGTTCAAAAGCTATTCGACATCGGTCAAAAAAATATTCATTCCGATGAGGGTCGAAGTATCTAAAGAAAAATAACAAACCATTAATATTATTTGAAAAGCTGCCATTTAATATACAAAATATGTAGTAATTTAGAAAATCAACAAAAGTTTGATTGAAAGTCGGATCAATATTTTTCAATAAGTTTAATTAGTTGTCAAAAACCAATTCATTTTGGAGCTAGCAGTCAATCAAACCGATTTTTCTTGTTAACTGTTAGTAGACAGACATAGCTAACAAAATCAAAGATTTCTTCCATATTCGACATTTAACAAGAAATTAAAGCACCGTTACGATCGCAGTTTCCTATTGTTTAATGTCTATGAAAACTAAATATGATCGAGATGAGGATACTACAAAATTAACTTAAGACTGACTCTTATTGTGAAGGCTTTCATTGCTTAAAACTAATGCTTAGCTTAAATGCATTGTAAATCTAATGAAACCGATGCTTTGCAACTAACTAATGTTAAGTGGTATTGCTGAAAACTTCGACTTTCGAGTTTGGGTTTGAGATTTGCTGGGTTTGTAGGGGCATGAAATGAGAGCATTATCCGTTTTAAAAAGTTTCTTCGATCAACAGTTTTCGAGAAAACTGAATCTAAAGTTGAAACTTCGACCGCGTTTTGTTCCACTATGGTAGAAGATATTTTCATAAAACTTCAATATAAAGATGTCAATTCTGATGTTTAATCAGAAAACGCACTTATTTCGAGAAATAAAACTTCCCGTTTTCTAAAAAACAGATCAGTTCGATTTTGATTTAAACGTGTCGCATTTCGTGATTGTAACAGTTAGAGACCTGAAATTTATCAATTGTCGATAAAATTTGATGGCACACATCAAGTATCTAACGATTTTTCAAACTTATCGATAGTTATCTTGATTTTGGCCATTGACTCGAAAACTTTAGTACTCAATATTTCGAGAATAAAAGCGCCTGCCATTATCATTCTTTGACCAAACATTAGATTTCATTTTGGACTATTATGTATTGACATATCAAATTATTCAAGATTCTACCTAATAAGTTATAGTATATGATTACTTATACTGATACTTATTAGACACTATAGATGTGAAACGAGACCCCAATCGGACAGAAATAGAAAGACGATCCCAGAAAGACGCTTATCATGTATCACATTACATGTTATTACGTGACGTAATATATGTAGAGACTAGTACATGCTATTAGCTATAGCAAAACAACATTGTACTAGATTCATCGATGTAAATCGCATGCACATGTTTTCTATGTGTATATTTTGCAGTCATTATGACAGTTGTCGATGCTTATAGAAACTTGACAGTAGTCCAGTGGAGACTGTTGAGTACATCTATTTAAGCATAAAATGCAGTCGACTCATTCTTAATCATCCAGATC